CAAGGTACATTGAACAGGTAGTATCAGTAGAGCAGCTGATTTGATTTATTTTCAAATTATTTGGTCTCGAAAATGTCAAATATTTTTAATTTTTTCTCACAAAAATTCTGAATTGTTAAAATCCATTTGCATGTGAAACCTTTTTCCATACAAAACAAGCGATTGAATAGCAGCTTTTGGAACGTTCGCCCAACTCAGCAGCACAACCGCTGATTACTGGCCCTTGTAAAGGATGGATCAATGCTTCGAGAAGCAAACAAATTTACTAGGAAAGAAAGTTGCAACAATTTTTATTTTTTCCAATTTCAATTTTTTATTTTTTATAATTTTTTGTATTTCACATGGCACGCTTTGATTTAGAAGAAAAAATTCAGAATAGTTTTTGACACTTTCGATACCAGCAGCAACAACAAAATATACGCAAATGTTATTTTTGCTCTACTGATACTACCTGTTTAATGTGCCTTGCTTGAAGTATTTTTTTTTCATTTGTTGTACAGTGAAACCTCGATATAAGAAACCTTGATAAAACGATTTATTCAATATACGAAAAAATTTTACTGTCCCCTGAAAAAAAAAGTAGTTGCTGGGAGATTATCCATACAAAAATGTTCCGAAGAAATGTTGGCCATGAAAACCTGCTGAATTTATTGACGGTTAAAGTCCCGTTAGCAAGAGCCTCAATGTAACGAACTGTGACTCAACATAACGAATTCTGAATATTTTGACGGTTAGAATCCGATTAGCAAAAGCCTGTATGTAACGAAGTCTTGAAGTCTGAATATGTTGACATAAAAGTCCCCGTTATGAAAAAAACGAAACTACACTTAGCAAAGTGTCAAAAATTTTGTTTTTGCAAAAAATTAAATTTTATTGCGGATTCCGGTAGAATACCCAATCGGTAAAAATATTTTTGTCTATGACGACAAACCCCTAGAAATGGGTCTGGTAGTTTTACGACTAAAGTTAACAAAACTAAGATTTCATTGCGGATTTGGCCAGTTTTTCATTTTGCTCCATATTACCAACAGTGTTTGTTATGTTTTTCTAGACCACGCGGCTTCTAAAATAACGTTTTTTTCCAAAATTTTTCATTTTTCTTTGTATCGAAATTTTGATATTCTATAAATATAAGGAAACTATAGACATAACGAAGCATTTCAACCTCGTTATATTGAGGTTTCACTGCTCTTACATACCCCATATATACATACATATACATTATATCCTCATACATAATCCATTTGTGATCATAGCTTCGTATTACTACATTCATCGATTACCTAAATGTTTGTGTATTTGCAAATCTTTACACAAAAACATAAAAAAAATTTACATTTTACCTATTTTGTATTTTAGAAAATTACAGTCATGTGCAAAATATTAAGATCACAAGAACGATTTCCCCCTACACACAGCTATTAAAGCGACAACTGTAATTTCGTTCCCACGACAGTCGGGTCTACGTAACCGGAACGACCCAGATTTATATCTGGCCAAGGACTGTCACTCCAGCAACATTCCCCAAAAAGTCTTTGGGGAGTTTGTATGCTGTTACAACAACAACAACAACAACAACAACTGTAATTTTAACAACTACAACAATTTTATTTTAAATATTTTCACAATATTGTTTGTTCTGCTACCTCAAAGCCTGCCATCCGGATTTTGCCAGGTGGTCTTAATATTCTACACATGACTGTATTTTTCATTTTTAAGCTATTTTCATTATAAAATCTCAATAGGCACATATGCCCACATAGTTCATGCATATTTACATGTTCCAATGCCTAATTTGACATCAGTGTTATACTTATCGCCTCACATGCAAAGCAAATAAATTACTAAAATCAGTTAATAACATAAAACTTTAAACTTATGCAATTTCGAATTCACATGCAGACGTTGCCTCTGCGAATTGGCCAAACAAATCGGTTTTACCGATCATGCCACAGATCGTTTTGCACTCGAAGGCCAACTGGCTTCCTATAGACACTTGGTAAGTAGCAAATTGTCTGTTTATGAAGTACTCGTATAAATTTACTTTTTAACTCTGTTTCGTCCCTTACAGCAACCGGAGGTGGTTCGTCGTGACATTCGTTTTGCGCGCCAACTTCAACTCTCATCCAAAGTGAAGGTACCCTTTCCTCATTCCTTGTCGGTGGTGATGCGCGAAACCCCCGGTGGCTATTTATCGCTCTTCACCCAAGGAACCGCCGACATTATAATGGATTTCTGCGATGATTTCTGGGATGGCAAAGACTTGCGTCCGCTATCGCCGCAGGACCGCAAGAAGGCGCTCGATTTCTATCAACGCAGTGCGCTCACCGCCTACTGCACGGCCTTCTCATATCGCCCACTTCGCCATGGCATAAATGGCGCGCTAAGCGGCGCAAAACATACTGGCGGTCCAATTGCCTATCTGGAGTTACCTCCCGAATCAAAGATACGTATGCGGCATGTAGATCGTGCACACTGTGACTTCGAAAGTGGACATAGCCATGTGAAGTTAAGCCATAGCATCAGCACCGATTCGCTGCTGTTCTCTGAAAGCAAAGACGACGACATTAATGATGTGGATGGTTGCTTTGAGATGCAGTGCCATCAGGTGTTCATCGGTATGGTGACTATGCAGTACCAAGCGCAGACGGATATAGTGCAATTGGTAGAGCGCTTGGAACGCGCTTGCATACGTTTCGTACACTTCAGCAAGGAAAATGAGTTGCGTTCGCGTGTGTTTTCGGAGAAAATGGGTCTGGAATCGGGTTGGAATTGTCATATATCGCTATTGAATGAGGCAGACGACAAGGCGTCGACAAATACTGGCGCGGCCGCAAACAGCAGCGCGGAGAAGGCTAACACTAGTGGTACGTCAGCGGCTGGGCAAACGCCCACGCGATCTGGTAACAAAGAAGCGCATGTTACTATTGCGAATAATATCAACAACATTGTCGAGTCCGCTCATGATCACTCAACAGCCATAAGCACCATCAAAAACAAGAACAACACTGCCACAAGCACCAATTCGACCACCACTGCCATCAGTAGTAGTAAACCTTCATTGCCTCATAAAGTTGAAAACATAAATCAGTGCAATAGCATGCACCACAACACCACCATCATCAACAACCAAAACAACAACAAAAATAGTAGTAGTATTAGTAGCACGCATCACACTCATCAAATGCACCTAAATACATCGAATATTGCAGGAGGTACAACCGGCGCTGACAATGATGCCGATGACGAAGGCAGCGATTTGCATCGCCTACTGCCGCCCGCCAATCTCGAGTCTTCCAAAGCGCTTAGTTCATCAGCGCCTGGCGCAATCTCTAATCCGGGCGACTACAATGCGGTACAGCTTAGTTCATCGCCGCCGTCGCGTCGCAGCAGCGCCAGCTGTGGGGACGGTAACGGAAAAGTGGAATCTCTACACCTGGTTGGAGACGGCGACGAAGGTAATGCTATAAAAGCTGCAGCTGAAGCTGATGCCGAGGAGCAGCGCCAGTCAGAGGACTCTGCAATGGATGAGAACTGCCGCTCTATGAGCATCATTACGGAAAGCACGGAACAGAGCGCACCTGTGCACTTTGATATGTCGAATCGTGCGAAACTGCCGCGTGGTATCGAGAATATACGGCCGCATTTAGAGCAAGTGGATAACGTGCCGCTACAAGTATCGCTTTTCACCGACTGTTCACCTGAAGCGACGCGTCAAATGCTTGACATCATGCAATCGTATGGCGAAATTGTCGTCTGTCTCGGCTCTTCGGCCAGCAACTCAAACGCAAAGATCTTCTTGCAGGCCGACTGCAGCATTGCGGTTGAACCGCTGTACCCACAAGTTTGCCAAGATATTCCCGCATACACGGAGGG